GCTGTCAGACAGGTCGGGGCCTCAAGGGAAGATGTGAGCGATTCCCTCCCAGGTCCCGGTTGCTCTGAATTTTGCTCCTAGAAGCTGCTGAGGTGGGATGGGGTGTTGGCGCCCCCCACAAAGGGCCGGGCGGGCGATGAAGGGGACCCAGACAGGAAGAGCAATCACGGTGAATAAAGGGGAGACGCAAGCCCTCGCCGGCCTGGCTCAGTGGATAGAGGGTCGGCTAGTGGACTGACAGGTCCCGGGTTCGATTCCAGTCCGGGGCATGTCCCTCAGTTGCAGTTTCTATCCCAATGCCCGGCCTTGGTCGGGGCACGTGCAGAAGGCAACCAACGGATGTGTCTCTCTCACATTGACGTTTGTCTCTCTGTCTCTCCCCCTCCTTTCCACTCTCTCTTAAAAACCAATGGGAAGCCCTGGCCGGTGTGGCTCGGAGGATAGAGCGTCGGCCTGCAGACGGAAGGGTCCCGGGTTCGAATCCAGCCAAGGGCACATGCCTGGGTTGCGGGCTCGATCCCCCATAGGGGGCGTGCAGGAGGCAGCAGATCCATGATTCTCTCTCCTCATTGATGTTTCTCTCGCTCCCTCTCTCTCTGAAATCAATAAAAATTTATTTTAAAAAATAAAAATAATAAAAGTCAGTGTTATTGGGCCTGGACAGTGTAGCTCAGTGGCTGAGCATCGTCCCATGTACCAAGAAGTTACCAGTTCCATTCCCGGTCAGGGCACATGCCCAGGTTGTGGGCTTGATCCCCGGTAGGGGCATGCAGGGGGCAGGTGATCAATGTTTCTATTTCTCTCTCTCACTTCCACTCTCTCTCAAAATCGGTAAACTTGCCCTAGCTGGTTTGGCTCAGTGGATAGAGCATCGGCCAGCGGACCGAAGGGTCCCGGGGTCGATTCCGGTCAAGGGCGTGTACCCTGGTTGCAGGCTCCTGGCCCTGGTCGAGGGGCAACCGATCTATGTCTCTCTCTCACATCGGTGTTTCTCTCTGTCTCTCCCTTTCACTCTTTTACAAAATCAATGGAAAAAATATCCTTGGGTGAGGATTTAAAAAAAAAATCAATAAACTTTTTTTTAAGTCAGTCTTATCTATACTAATAATAGAGGAATATGCAAATTGTCCAGGACACCGACACAGTAACAGTTAACGACTGAACAAGCAGGCTGCGTGGGGCGACCAGGCCGGCGGGGTGGGCAGTTGGGGGCGACCAGGCTGGAAGGCAGAAGCAGTTGGGGTGATCAGGCTGGCACGGGGGGAGGCAGTTAGTGGCGATCAGGCAGGCAGGCGAGTGGTTAGGAGCCAGCGGTCCCGGATTGTGAGAGGGATATCCAACTGCCAGTTCAGGCCTGATCCCTGGGATCGAGCCTAAACCGGCAGTCGGACATCCCCCGAGGGGTCCTGGATTGCAGAGAGTGCAGGCTGGGCTGAGGGAGGACCCCTCCCCCCGCTGTGCACGAATTTCATGCACCGGGCCACTAGTTGAGGGATAACTTCCTTTGACCCCAGGGCGGTTCTGATTCAGACCCTCTCCTTTCGCACTGAGGCTCCATCTCAATTCCTGGGCGTCGAGGATGGGAACAGTCCTGTCTGCCTGGAGTCTTACCTTACACTGATCGCCCCCACTTCCCTGCATAGCCCCCCGCTCCCCGCAGTCATCACCTGGGTCCCTTCAAGATTTTTTATGTTTGTTTTTTTAAATATGTTTTTATTGATTTCAGAAACATCCATGATGAGAGAGAATCATGGACCGGCTGCCTCCTGCACGCCCCACACTGGGGATCGAGTCCGCAACCCGGGCCTGTGCCCTGACCGGGAATCGAGCCGTGACCTCCTCCTAGGTGGACGCTCAGCCACTGAGCCACCCCGGCCCCGGGTTCTAGAGGTGGGATTCCAGGCGTCAAGCCCAGGCCCGCATGAGCCTCGCGTGCATTGTCCTGCCTGATACTGTGAGGTGCCTCTGGTCTCCGCCCAGGGGGTGGGGACGCAGAGCACAGGGCTGAGCCGGGTCGGCCGGAGCCCACAGCCGTCCTCCTGGGCCTGCCTTCCTCAGACTTGCTGGCCGGAGCCCACAGCCGTCCTCCTGGGCCTGCCTTCCTCAGACTTGCTGGGTGAGGACTCGGACCTCCGGGACTCTGGTCCCAGCCCTGCCCCTGCCCGCCAGCTGCTCTGGGACTCGGGTGAACTCTCCCATCTCAGGGCCCCTGTGCAAAGAGCCGGTGCTGGCTTCGTGGCCTGAGTGGGAGCCTGGGCAGGAAACAGCCCAACAGGGTCTGGACCCCGGTCCTTCACTGCTCATCAGAGGCAGCGAGCTGCACGGGGAGGGCACCCCCTGGCCATGTGGCCCTGGGAGCATCCAGCCCTGAGCCTGGGGAGGTGGTGGGGTGGGGGAGCAGGGGGAGGAGGAGGAGGACCAGGGGGAGGTGAGGGAGGAGAGAGAGGGTGGTGGGGAGGGAAAAGGCCCTCATTTCAAGCTATTCCCCAGCATGTGCGAGGCGGCCAGGCCCTGGGGGTGAGGGGGCGGGGGGGCTTGCCCCGTCCCGTGTCCCGGGGAACGCATAGCTGAGGCAGGTGGAAGTACTTATCCCTGTTGAGCGGGCGCCGGAACTCCCTCGGAGGCCCCGAAAGATGACAGCAATGAGAACCAGATTCCGCAGGGTGAGTGGCGGGAGGGCCCGGACCAGCCGGGAGGGGAGGGGGCGCGCCTACTAGGGCGGGAGAAGGAGGCAGCCAGTCCAGCATCTTGCTCAAGGTCACACAAGGTCACACAAGCGTTAAGACTCCAACTTGGCCCAGCTGGCGTGGCTCAGGGGTTGAGCGTCGACCTAGGAACCAGGAGGTCACAGTTCGATCCCCGGTCAGGGCACCCTCACCCTTCTTCTCTGTAAGAAATCAATATATTTTTTAAATAAAAAATAATAATAGCAAACATGGCCATCCATAGGCATGGGTGAGTGCCCTAACCGGTTTGGCTCAGTGGATAGAGCCTCGGCCCGTGGACTCAGGGGTCCCAGGTTCGATTCCGGTCAAGGGCATGTACCTGGGTTAAGGCTTTAACCTCATGACACCAGCAAGAATCCCTCCCTCCCCACCTCTCGGTCTTGATGCTTGAGTTTCTATCGGACAAACCTCTCCATTCCTTTGGCGAGAGCTGCTGATTCATATTTAGTGAAGGTTTATGTGAGACAGGCTCTGGGCTACGTACCTTGTAGGTACTTTAAAAAAAATTTTTTTTTTAATTGATTTCAGAGAGGAAGGGAGAGTGGGAAAGAGAGAGAGAAACATCCATGATGAGAGAGAATCACAGACCGGCTGCCTCCCGCACGCCCCACACTGGGGATGGAGCCCACAACCCGGGCCTGTGCCCCGACCGGGCATCGAACCGTGACCTCCTGGTTCAAGGTCGATGCT